ATTTAGGGCACCCAAGAAGGGATCAACATTTTGTCATCGCCCCATAGGTAGATAGATCGATCGACAGGTATGAGATAGGTATGATAGATACATATGCAATAAGAGGACTTTGGTCATTGATCCTAACTCTTCCAAATTCACATGACTTCGGAAAGGGTCCGAATTTGGGGGGTTGGGGGTTACCAAAGTCCGTGCGGTAACATGCATCTATATGCAATCCTTGCGCAACGCGTTTGAACCCTAAACCTTACACCCTCAACAATAAACTTCCCTAGACTAAACTTCCTAAACTTCCTAAAGCCCAATTCCTAAGCCTGAAGCCCTAAAACCCTATAGTCCCCCTTAAGTAGATAGAATATGGGGTATATGGGGATCTTGTTAAAATATACCCAGAGCCATAGTCTATCTACTTAAGGGGGACTATAAGCCCCAAAACCCCCAAACCCTAAACCCCTAAACCCTAAACCCTAAACACCTAAACCCTGAACCCTGAACCCTAAACCGAGCATGAAGTAAGGTCCGTGCCCACCGCCGTCTATGGCACCTACATCAGCGCCGGTGGCGGCTGGTGCGTGGCAGTGACTGGGTTACTGTTAAGGAACTTAATTTAAGTTACTATATTGGGGAAACCCTATTATTTCCTATATATTCCCAGTATGGTAACCCTAAACCCTATATACCCATTATGGTAACTTAATTTAAGTTCCTTAACAGCAAACCAGGTGACCGTCATCTTTGGAGTGCTGTGAGACTTGGCATGCCTTGGCATCTAGGGGTTTAGGATTTAGGGTCTAGGGTTTAAGGCTTGGGATTAGGGTTTAGGGTTTAAGGCTTGGGATTTAGGGTTTAGGGTTTAAGGCTTAGGATTTAGGGTTTAAGGTTTAGGATTTAGGGTTTATAAGGTTCAGGGTTTAGGGTTGAGGCATTTAACTTCAAACCCTTCGAAGCTTCTGGCGCAAGATGGCAAAATCCTCGCCCTAAACCCTAAACCCACGAAGGTTTCATCCTAGGACCTTGTGACCTCCAAAAACCCCTAAGGGTGGAAGTACTCAATCTAACCCAACCTGCCCCCATATGAGCCATAATCCAAACTCCTTAAAGGGGGTTATATAGGGGAGTATATAGGGGGTTACTGTAGGGGTTATGAAGGAGGATACCAGGAGTTTAGACTATAGCTCATATCTAGCCTTCTATAGTCCCTATACACCCTAGTATGTCGCCCTTATAAAGCCACAGACCGCAAACGCATGTCCCCATATATATATATATAGATAGATAGATAGATAGAGACACACACTCCCTCATACAATCCCTAGACATGTGGCTGTTTAAGACGCCCCATGGTTTTTGTATAACAAGAAGGTTGCTCCTGTGAGGAAGGAAGCAACCCTAAGCCCATTGGAGCGTCAAGGAAGAAATCTGACGTCACAGGAAGCAAAACCTGTCCCAAGTCTAGCGGCGTCTTAAATGTTTCCAGAGTAAGCAAAAAAGTTACCCTAGGGGTCCAAGAGTACAAATCATACCAATAAGGAGAAGCAAATGCAAAATAACATGGAATATGAAATGGAAACTGGGGTTCTAGGGGTCTGAGTATACGACTAAGAACTACATTTGAAACATACCAAAGGAGCAGAACCTTAACAAAGTCCTCTAAAGCCTCCAAGTTAGGTGCAGAAATCCAAAAAGAGTTTTGTGGGGAACTGCCGGACGTCTTGAATCCCGCGCTCGCCTCATGTATGGTAAGTTGTCAACATGAAATTGCATTGTTTGAGTCCCTGGTATAATACAGCCTCAAGTATTTAGGGTACCCCAAAAAAGGATCATACGTTTGAAAACCCCTCAAATCCCCCATGAACCGCAAACCCTCAAATCCCACAAAAACCCTAAGGCCTCACATCCCTCATAGACCCTGAACCCTTTAAACCCTCATATCCCACATAAACCCTAAACCCTCAACCTTCCTTTAAATCCCTCACAAACCCTAAACTCCGAACCTTCAAATCCCCCACAAACCCTAAACCACAAACCCTCAAATCCCATATAGACCCTAAACCCTAGACCCCTAAATCCCACAAAGAGCCTAAACCCCAGACCCCCTCTCCCCAAGGTGGTCAGGGGCTTCAATCCGTGGCCGCCGCCTGGCTGTCCTTCTGGTCGGATCACAGCCATCCCGACAGCGAACCTCGCATGGTTTACATGGGTTTAGGGTTTAGGATTTCGGGTGCAGGGTTTAGGGTTTAGGATTTAGGGTTTAGGGTTCAGGGTTTAGGGTTTAGGGTAGGTATATCGGCTTCTGTAGAGGGGTTCTGTAGGGATTGCATAGGGTTTATGGTGGTATGTAGGGTGTGGCAAGCTTGAGACTCGCTAGTGCGGACCCCCATAAGGCCCTTCTAATGCTGCACTAGGCCCTTCTCATGCTGTACTACTTGTACAGCGTGCTTATGATTTCGAGAATCTGGGGTTGCAAAGGGGTCCGTTGGGTTGCCATGGGGGGTTACATAGGGGATTTTATAGGGCTTGTAGGGGTATGTCGAGTTTTACAATTTTGAGAAACCTGCTTCTTTGGGCAGCAAAAGACCCTAAACTTGGGTCATTACCCCCTGTAATAGCTGTTACTGTAAGGGGGAATAACCCAACCCTAAACCCTAAACCCTCAGTGACGGTCAAGGTCCCTCACGTGACGGATACTCTCGGCTTGGTGGGCTATGGAGGGCTTAGCATTACAGTGCCACGGCTGCAGCATGTAACGCTTAGGGTTTAGGGTTCAGAGTTTAGGTTTAGGTTTTAGGGTTTTCATAACCATACAAGCTTTTCAAGCCTTTAGAGAACTCTGTATGCTTCTATCTCATCTTATAAGCTGGATAGAACCGTAGCGGAGTGGTTATGGTTGTGAGTGGGGGATTCAGGGTTAAGAGTTTGGCGCGCACCCAACTAACTGCAGCTTTATGCGTTATACGTACTGATAAGGGGGCAACGTAGTTATTGTTTTGAAAAGTTTTGGGGTGTACCTTACCCACGCAATGTGAAAAGATGCCTCTCAAAGTGTTTGGGAAGTGTTGCATCAGGGGAACGGAGAGGGCGGTACTTGAGTGTTGAATTCCAGTGAAGCAAGGCATTGTACCTGTAACCCCAAAACCCAAAACCCTGAACCGCCCTGCCTTAACCCCCTAAACCCCCCAACCCCCCCCTAAACCCTAAACCCGAACCCCCCTAAACCCCGCTTAGCCCCCTAAGCCCTGCACCTTAAACGGCGATGTAGCTTGCACTGCCCCAAGCTGACCTGGGGCTTGCAAATCGATCCATTACCGACTACCATTGCTCTGAATCCTAAATCCTACAGCCTAAATTTCTTAGAGGAGAACTATATAGGGTTTAGGGTCTAAACTTCTTAAAGTGGGTTATATAGAGGAGTATTTTTAAGGGGATACGAGGAGTTTAGACCCTAATCCCTAAACCCTAAACTGAGGAGTTTATACAGACTACAGCTCATATCCTCTTTAGAGGCCCCTTGGATCCTTGTACTACTCGGTAATCAGCCCGGTTATTGTACGTTGGGGCTATGGGAGCATAGTTAGCTTTGGGGTGTAGGGTGTAGTCTTCCTCTTAGCCTACCGGAAGATCCTTGCCGCGTTTTCTCGAAGATGAAGCTCTGGTGAACAAGTACTACAATGTAGAAGCCTGAATGACTGTTATTTGTCTCCCCTTATAATTTGTGTATGCAACTACAAACATATAGTACGCCCCAAAACGTTGTTCTAGTCAAGCATGTCGCCACACTACGTGCTTGAACGTTATAGTCCCCCCTAATCCTTAAGCCCCTAACCCATGAGCGCTGCGTCCTAAGACTCTATAGCCTGAAGCCCCAAAGCTTGAATCCCACATCCCAAATCGGTTAAGGAGGCGCTTCGGCCCACAGCTTCGTTGCACGTGCATGTGGTCTGCTTGGCAGTCATTGCAATGCTTG